CTTCGTTTCCCCCCCCCCCCCCCCCCTGTAGTGTCTCGCTACATCCGCACTGAGACATGTATCGCACCACTCTCATACACACACCTGAGGTACATACGCACGTCCCAGGTGTCGCAATCCTTCCTGCAGAGTAGTCGTGTGGCTCTCGCCACTCGGTGGACATCTCCACTTCACCTGTATATACATACTACCGACTCGTCCTGTACATCATATCACGACAATAAACTAATTACTAGTTTGCAACCGTTGCCTCGCGTAGTTGATTCGTTACCTTCCCGATCGACCACCACCTCGAATCCTACCCCCCTCCCCCCCGAGATCGAGGGAACAATTCAGATCGTAGTCAGACGGTGTGAAGTGAGACGATTGTCATTTGTTCCTTATGTTAAGACAATGTAAAACCAACGTTCCCACCTCATTTCTCACCATCACACCACGTTCTGAACGGATCCCTACACACGAAACACTTTAATTTGGAACTCAAAACATGCAGTGATGAAATTTTAAGCACGGAATTATATTGATGATATAAACAATAGATTAATTGAATTATTGAATAAACTAATTGAAAAAAATTATGATAGTGTTGGCACGTACTTTTACCAGAGCACCAACGAACATTGGATTTCAAAAATTTACTCTCTGAGTTACGTTTCAGAAGGAATTGGATTGTAATTATGATTGAAATATTGTTCAGTGAGCGTAGCAATTAGCACATCAGCGAGTCATTTTTTGCAATATGACAAATTAGCAAGTAACAGATTGGAACATGCTATTCTCATATGATGAAAAAAGAAGTATTAAATCTGCTAGGAAAAGGGGCATCAACATGCTGGCGCGGGTATCCTATCGTAAAAAGGAGAAAGGAAATCGATCTCGATATGTCTCGAAAATCTCGAATCACTGTCACCGTAAGACTGAAACCGAAGCTCCACTATAGTGTAGTCAAATTGGCATTTAGGTGCTTTTTTAATTCACTGGGGATGAGAAAATACCCATTCGATAGATAAAATTGTACTGAATCACATATTAAAATGATCAAAAATAGATCGGTGCAGAAAATATCTAAAAAGATTAAACAAGATCAGGGTTCTTAGGCGAACGCCAAGAATCCATGTAGCTTCAATTAAATTCAATCAATTATTGAGAAAAAAATACCAGCGTGTAGTGGGAATAAGTCTCTACAGAATTAAGTTAGAAACCAATAGTCCACATTCACTAGTTTTGCCGTAATAAATTATTTAGTATTTTTAACCCCATATCTGGTAAAATGATCAGCTGATTCCGTAAGACCCACCTCTTTCTGCGCGCGCACTTGTCTCAAAGTGGCGCAATGCGTAGTAGATTTAAACTGTACGAAAAATTTCACCGCCGAGTGCGAACTTTACGAATATTTCCATCCTAAAGTTTAATAATACTAGTATTCAATTATTTAATCTAAGAAAGGGGAGATTTTGAAATAAAAAAATAGGAAAGAAAAGGCTAGAAAGAAAGAAATACTCAAAAAGGAAAAAAGAAATTTTTTTCTCAATCTACCCAATATCAGTTACTGAAATTTCAACCAAATATTGAGGGGAGATTAACGAAGGTCTTAACGCGTCCCATTCACTGTTTATTGGCAATAATTGTTTTTTCTACAAGTTTTTTTGCCAATTAGCCTCTTTCTCAATTAAACTTGAAGAATTCGCCACGCGAGGGCCACATGGTCGGTTGGGACAAATCGTCACGCCACCTGGTCAAAGTTGCAACATATCACAAATCAAAACAAGAAGGTTAGAAGGGTCACAACAAAATACGTGAGAATATAGATGAAAGGTTCCTATTTTTCGCAAAATAAGACAAATTCCGGATAACTGTTTGTGATCAACGAAGTGATTAATTGTTCCTGAAAAATTTCTACCTATTAACCTATTTCCTGATAAATTTCTAACCTTGTGATCAACTCGATTTTTAAACCATTGGAGTTGATGTTTCGACATACCAGCCAACCTAATGGATATAGGTTATAAAATAATAATTAAAACGCAGTGAATTAACTTTTACTTTTCTTTATTCATTAATATCGCACGAGGAAGAAACGTCTGTACTCTATGGACTGCTCCAGCAGACTAAATACTAGTCAAAAAGACCAAAGGAATATCGTCACCTAACGACAAAGAACTCTCAGTTCTTTCTCCCTATGGAGTCATTGTTTATGTTTATATTAACTCTCCGGCACTCTCTACGTCGATTCGTTTTTGTACGCATAATCTCCTTAAATCAATTATCAAAAATGTAACTTATATTCCAACACGCCTCCTCAAAAATGAATTCGACTTTACTTAAATCCAATATGCTATTAACTGTGTATGAAATTCAAACTTATCATGAACTCAATGTTTACATTTTATCCTTACTATACTATTGTACAGAAAAC